AGCGGTCCAAAAACACAGATATATCGATGGAAATATCGAGGAAATATCGATATCAATAAAAATTGAATAAAAATCACAGAAATTGTGAGAAAAACTTGGAAATTTTTATTGAAACTTTAGAGATGTTTACTTAGTCAATTGTCTATTATTTTATCACAAAAAATTGGAAGGAATTGCATAGCATGGCGGGTTTGAGTGATTTAAGTTGATTATGCAGCGATCTAACAAATACTGTGACTTTAGAAAATATGTAGTAATTAGTGAAAGAAAATTAAACACACCATAATTTTTTAGTTATAATAATTTACTTCAATATATTACACTTGACACATATGATAAAATATATGAGCTTAACCAAAAAAACAAAGATAAAATGTATGAGTTAATACCACATAGAAAGAATTCCTATTAAAATTCAAACTTAGTATCACATATAATGAACAATATTAAAACTTGAAGTGAATAATAATAAAACTCCATAATATATAACAACAACAAAATACTACTCCATTATAAAATAATAAATGACATTAAATATATGCTTAAATTTATTCTTAGGGAATTTTTTTAATAAGGAAATTTATATTAGATAATATTAGCTTGCAGACATTTTTAAAGACCTTATAAATATTGAAAGCTGAAGATATAAACACAAATTTAGCCACAGCGAGTTGGATAAGGTGCTGTGGTTAGTTGAGAAAGGGAGGGGTTCGAATCCCTCTATGCGCAAGAGTGAGACTTTTCAACATTTTTCATGTATTTTTCGGTTTCATATCGTGAGTTGTCGATATTATCAATAATATCGCGATATATTGCCCAAATAATGCATGAAATTTTTCATGTAGATACTGGTAGAGATAAGTTTCCTTCATTACTAATTCATCATCTACTTTCAATTTGGATAAAACTGAAGTTGTCCTCCATTTCTTCGATCAAAAAACCTTAAAATTAGTGAGTTATCCAATCTAATCTAGTCACGTGATAAGATGTTTTAGAATATTTTGCCTACGGGAAATTTTAATTTGGAAGGCAGTCATTCTCCAATTGTTTGCCTTCACAACATTAGTTTTTAATTTTATTATTAAATTGGAGGATGAGTGCCTTCACAATGTTAAGTTCAAGCGCCCCTAATCACAATGATTGCAATCCAACCTGTTGATGGTGGGCATCATGATCAAATTGTTAACGGATGTTGACCAAGTCAAATTGTAAATGTAGAACAACTATCAACCAAAATTTGATATGGTCACAAAAATGTAAACTAAACCAAAGTTTTTTGCTAATAAAAAGTTATAACTTTTCTGTGAAATTAGCAAGAGCCTATCAGAGGCATATCAAAATATTGTTGGGTCAATCTAACAACTATATGCTGAAATACTTCACCATTTTGAATGGAACTTAGAAAGGTACGAGCAGATAACTTGTATCCAACTTTCCCCGATCGAATAAGGTTCCAAGAAAGGAATTTTGAAGCACAAAATGGACAAGCTCAAGACAATAATCTTAAATCAAAGTTCACATATTCTAACAGCAGTATGTGAAGCCCTCAACACTTCAGCCATCGTAATCAAAACAAGCACCCAGACAAAAGAAGAAAGAGAAAAACTTAATTGCAATCGGTTGTGCTATCCCCGATCAATAACGCTATATCACGTGGAATTGTGGATTTTAAACCATTCAACAATTTGCATAGCTATGAACGGTTGGTAGTAAAAAAGAGATAGATTTAGTGGATAAGGCATACATAGAAATAAAGGAAAATTAAAGGAGGCATGCATAGATATCATATACTGAAGCACTGGCTTGCTTTGCTGTTTCCCTCTCGAGCTCTAAAGGTCCCATCTATTTGTTGATGCGCCTTGTACCCTCCTCCATGCAAGTTGCTCAAAATTTTGGCAAGCCATGAGTATGGATGAACAAAAAGTGAAAAGAATGTTCCCGTTTTCGTTTCAGAGTAAACTCACAACAGATTGAAGTGACTGATCAATTAAAGGCATGTACATATATAGAAACCCTATCTAAGTAGCAAGCATCTTTTTGGAATAAGAAGATTAAAGAAAAGAAAAAAAGGGAAAATCAGATGAAAATTCTTGTTAAAACACCTGTCTTAGTTAGTATGAAATAATACTTTGTTTTTGTTGTTAACTGTAACGCATTAATTTTGTGTTGGATAAATGTCATCTCGACCTAAACTTAGAAATGTGTTAAGATCAACCAAAAATAAATAAAATTGTAAGCATATCATTCATGCCTTTTATGGTACAAATTCGCATTTGGAAATCTTAAATATGGTGTGCTACATAGGGTTAGGTAGATAAAATGAAAGGACTATAGACAGATTGAGTCAGATTCTACTTAACTAGTGGTTGATGATCACTATCAGTATGATATAAGCAAGTTTTTGATCAGTTTTAAGATAGTCAAGAATAAAGAATCAACATATATCTAAAGATAAAACAACAGATATAAGAAATGGAGTTGCATGAGATCATTAGGGAGGATGATTTGAACACAGAACGTCAGATGCAAGAATAACTACTCTTAACCACTTGAACTACAAATCTCTTGTCAGCCTTGTCTTTATCCCTTTTTTCTTTGTCATCCTGTTGTCACTATGACCCCAATGTGATGCTGCATCATGTACCTCTTAAAAGTTAAACTCATCGCAATAGTAGTGGTGACCTAATAAAAATTCCCTTTTGTAATGAACTCAAGGCACACACTAAGTTTTGTTGGATAACACATTAATTAATATTTTAATTGCTACATTCTTTGGTTCCTTAATTTGTCGTTTCATGCAAATTCCCCCAATGCCTAAGCACTTACATATGGATCCAAACCTGCTATTCTAACACTATGCCTCCCTTCAACTTCAAATTAAAACGGATCATCTTTCCAACTATATGATTCGAATTTAGGACTTCTACTAACAATGCAAAGAAAAATATCACTAAATCGAGGTAGTTGTGGTATGCTAACGTGTTAATTAATGGGAAGTTCTATAACGCACATCTAGTTAGAACAGTGCTTGATAAATCTTCCAAGAAATATTACGTCAAATTGTCCAGGTGAACTAATTCTTCCAATGACCACAGTTTTTCACCTTTGTTAATTTCAGTGTTTTCTTTACCTTGATCATCTTTCATCTTATATAGTTCAGGGCTGCAAAGCATATAAACTTTTTACTCAGGTGTGTGAATACCATTGGCTCGATGGATTCTTTGACAAAAAAGTATAAACCATATTTTATAAGCATAGAACTAGAGCATCATCGTTCTTCCACTTTCAGAGTTGAGTTAATTAAACAATGCAAAACCTGATGAAACTTCACTTTAATTAAATAAAGCGGCGGTTAGTGGTATGGTGAAAGCGCATATTCTAAACAAAGTCAATTCATATAATATACAAGCTCAGTTAAGTAACTTCAAAACTGAGTCAAGCCACAGAGCTAATTCTGAACAATTACTCTCTCTCTCTCTCTCTCTCTCTCTCTCTCTCT